AAAGGGCGGTTACACCCCTTAATCCCCTATAAATGGTAGAAAACTCAACTGAGTTCAGAATCTCTAATTGGATCGACTTTTTGCATCCGCCATATCGTATAAAGAGAGATCGACATCTATGTTCTTGGAGATCTTGGAGCGTTCTTCAGCAACAGAGGTTTTTGGAGCTTGGTGCTTGGCTTTAAAACTGATTTTTGGTTCAAATCAACTCTGTTACAGAGTTTAAAACTCGCTCTGAGTTCTTAAACTCGTTAAGAGTTCTTTTCAAACTTGTCACGCAAGTTCTCCTCGACATCAATCAAGAGGATTCAACCGTGTCCTACGAGTTAAAGCGTCCGGATCGTCAACAGAAAGAAAACTCGACGCGAGCATTCGAGGGAGGCATTGCATCGACACTAGGAAGAACACAGTTTAAACAAAGGGAATGATCTCCGTTGATTTCTTCTCTCTTTTGTAAATTGGGATTCCGATTGAGAAGATTATAATTTATTTTTCTAAGTTTGTTAGAGAGAAATTGTATTGAGGACGTTGTAATCATTCTTTATCTAAATCGGTTAGAGAGAATAACACATTTTTGTTCTCAATTGTCTTCTTCGAATTTTCCCACCAAAAAAGGGGATTTGATATTATTTATGATTTGAATTAGTTAATAAAAATATTTCCAAAGATATTCTAATTGATTATAATTTTATATTTATATATATATATATTGCATAATCCCCATGTGCTTGATAGTGAATGTGGTCCCCTATTTGAATGAGTAGAGGAGATTGTGCCACCTCACTACTAAGCACAAAATTTATGTTTGGTACAAAGAATTGCTTCAACACGGTCCTTCTCAGTAAGACGGAACAAAGGGAGCTCTTGGCATAGATTGAACGTCATATTCTTATCAACGCCACCTTCGTGACCGAAATGATGGCGAAATGGGAGAGGCTCATTAGTGTGACGCACTACAAAAGCAAAGAAAATAAATCAGTCAAAGTAAAAAAGCCAAAACACACGCGGAGGTTGAACTCTGCGTCAGCAAAAATAAACACGGAGATCAAAACCCTACGTCAGCAAAATAAAACGTGGAGGTTGAGCCCTGCGTCAGGAAAAAATAAACGCAGAGATCGAACCTCGCGTTGGTGAAGATTTTAAGCGCGGAGGTTGGAACCCCCTATGCTTCAGATTTCAAACAACGGAGTCCTAACCCCACATTACGTCATTAAAACGAGTTTCCTCATTGATTTAAAGGTCAGAACTCGTCGCAGCAAGTTTAACGATTACGAAGGTCATACTTACCACTGATCAAAGGGAACTGAGGTGGCGGCAAACCCGCTTGAGCCACAGCATCGCTGGCCGGCACAGAGGGCGACGAGCTCTAGGTCGTGGCGACGACAGGCTTGAAGGGCCGAGAGACGGTCTTCTTCCTAGGCACCATGGATTTCGTTAGATGGGGAAGTGTTCGCCGAAGATGAAAACGAAAATCTTCATTAAAAATTCAGGGAAGAATAGCGAAGAGTTGAACGACTCTTGATTTGACCCCAGCGGTCTATTTATAGACAGTTGTGAGCTGTCAAATCGGAATGAGATTCTAGGCTAGAATCTCGCCCAAACGTGATTTTGACGTTCGAGTTGGTTGAACTTTCCAACGCAGGGCTTACCCATGCGTTCTAATTTTCAAGCGCAGAGTTCACTTGTGTGTTTTGACCACCACAAAAACAACATCTCGACGATCGTGGCTATGACACAACTTCAAATAAATAAAAGAAAATCTAATAGCGATCATCAAGGTGACCAAAGCCGAGAAGAAACTGGCGTATGACAAGCAGCTATGCAGCCTCTTGGATGAGTACAGATAGGTTACAGTCAACGATGCTAAAATCATCAAGCTCGATCTGTCACACAACTCATTCTCCTAAGTGGCTTAACATTCCCACTAAGATTAATGAAACCAGAAGCTGCACATGGCTCATTCTCCTAAGTGGCTTAACATTCCCACTATGATTAATGAAGCCAGAAGCTGTACACATCTCATTTTCCTAAGTGGCTTAACATTTCCACCAAGATTAATGAAGCCAGAAGCTGCACACGGCTCATTTTCCTAAGTGGCTTAACATTCCCACTAAGATTAATGAAGCCAGAAGCTACACACGGCTCATTCTCCTAAGTGGCTTAACATTCCCACCAAGATTAATGAAGCCAGAAGCTGCACATGGCTCATTCTCCTATGTGGCTTAACATTCCCACTAAGATTAATGAAGTCAGAAGCTACACACGGCTCATTCTCCTAAGTGGCTTAACATTCCCACTAAGATTAATGAAGCTAAAAGCTACATGTCGAGTGTTCATCAATGCCTACAAGAATTTTCGGGACAACAGAATACACCTCATCGTAAATTGAGTGGAGTATTTCAAGGAGCCAGACGAAATCCAAAGAATACACCTCATCGTAAATTGAGTGGAGTATCTCAAGGAGCCAGACGAAATCCAAAGAATACACTTCATCGTAAATTGAGTGGAGTATCTTAAGGAGCCAGACGAAATCCGAAGAATACACCTCATCGTAAATTAAGTGGATTATCTCAAGGACCCAGACGAAATCCGGAGAATACACCTCATCACAGACTGAGTGGAGTATCTCAAGGATCCAGACAAATTCGTTGTCATCATCGTTCTTGTTTGGTTAATCAGCAATGACTCGGGCTTTAACTTGTTGGACTAAGTTCATTGTCACTAAGACACAAAAGTTATCTTGTTTGGTTTAAGGAAGCAGAATTTCAATATTCCAGCAACCAAGTTCGCGATATCTTCGAATCAGACGAAGCGGACAATCAATCAATCAAATTTTAGGATCCAAAGTATTCTGAAAATTCGTTACAGTCAACCATGAATTTTTGAAAACTTTGGGGTTCTGTATGCTGTCTAAAAATCACAATAGATAGTTGATCCCCATCAAGCTTCAATGATGGGATTTATATATCTCAATGATAAAAGTTACAATCAGATAACTTTCATAACAACAAATGAAAACTACAAATGGAGGACTTTTCACATAGATCGAGAAGAGTTACAATTCAACAACACTTCCGGCAACTGATGAAAACTCTATCTAGTGGTCTTCATAATCAACTGTGAGAGTTACAATCTGATGACTTTCACACCCCACAATAGCTAAAGCAAAGATTATTGAACAATGGTCCTTGCAACGCTTTACAAAAGAGGTTACAAGTCAACCAGCCCCTTCTAAATGCGGAATTCATCTTCGCGTTTCAAGTCTTGAAACGCAGGCGACCCCCGCGTTTCCAATCCTCAGCAAACAAAACGCGGGCGGCCCTCGTGTTTTTCAACATCCAGTAGATATTCTCGGAGTTAGGGTCTTGAACGCTAAATTGAGCGTTTGACTCATTCAAACATGAGTCGAACGGTTTCAGAACCGTTTTCCCCACGATCTGAGTAAATCACGCCCACTTAGGAGCGGATTATGGGGGCAGTTACAACCCCTTATCCTCCTATAAAATCTCAACAAACTCAACAGAGTAGGAGGTTGGATCTTTTGGGCAGAGAGGTTCGGATTTTTAGAGTGGGATTTTCGGACATCAACGGCACCAAGGCAGTTCAATTCGGTTTTGGAGATCATCTGGTGATCGGCTAAGGACGAATCTTAGAGGAGATTGGCATCTTCAACTTTAGCAACAGAAAATCTACTTGGCTTATTAACCGATTATTCAGTTTTAACAACTCTTTTCATAGAGTTTCAACTCGCTCTGAGTTATTAAACTCATTAAGAGTTCTTAATCAAACTTGCCACGCGAGTTAGTTGTTCCTACGAGACAAGACGGTCGGATCATCAACGGAGAGCAAATTCGACGCAAATATTCGAAGGAGGCACTCCATCGCTACTGTGAAGAACCCAGAATTAAACAAATGGAAGAATCTTGATCATTCTCTTCTCTTTTGTAATCAGGAATTCAAATTGTAATTAAGATCAAGAGAATACAAATCAAATTTCTTTCATTCTTTTTACTCCAAATTTTCCACCAAACTATATATATATATATATAAATATATACACACACACACGGACCTCAAATATCTAATCTCTTGGCTTCCATTTAGCTAACTTCGTATCAAAATCTGTGTGATCTGATTTGTATCCCAAAATAATAACGCGAAAATGAAATAAAAATTTAAAAAATGAATTTATCTTTATCCCCATGAGATGCGCAAAGTGAAATAAAAAAAAGTGAATTTATCTCTATGCCATGTGATATAAGGATGACTTTTGGGATGGAATTTCAAGGGATGTGATTTCTTACATACCCTCGCCAGGGCCGGCCCTGATATTCTTAATTTTTCACGGGGCCCTAATCAAGCTTTCAAATAAGGGGCCTCTATATACAATATTTCATACACAAAAAATTTTATAAGATAGCAAAATATTTTTTATTAAAATAAGACAATAAGCACATAATCGTATTAATATTAAAATCAAAAAACTTCTTGATGCTTTATAAATAACACAATTCATACTACATTAAATGGGATCGCCTTACATTTTGAACTGTAAAATTATCAATTAAAATGTTCCAATCCAGCTTCTCCAATAAATTTTTTTCGATAGATATCATAGCCAATCCATTCAATCTCTCTTGTGACATTGTTGACTGTAGATAAGATTTGATGAGCTTCAACTTTGAAAAGCTTCTCTCGGCCGATGCAACTGTAACTGGTATTGTCAATAATACTCTATAAGCAATCCAAGCATTTGGAAAACAACAATTTAGCCTTTGCATAAAATTCAATACTTCAATTGCTTTTTTTGTTCCTCTTGGTAATGCTTCTCTTAAGATTTGGAGTTCTGAAAATAATTATGTCTCATTAATATCAAAATTTTTGTCATGCTTTAGGAGATCTTCAAGGTTAAGATATGAACACTTCAAACTATCATTATCTGTAGACTTCAACCTCTCCAAATTAAACAAGAAACCAAAAGATTCATCATACTGTTGAAACTATTCAAATCTACTCTTGAGTGAAGAAAGAGCTTGATCAACGATATGTATGAAGTAATTGACTCTAAAGGATTCTTCAGCTGTCATTGCCATATCTTTACTAGCATTTTTATCAAAATGTTTCTTTCTACGAATGATGCGACGTTCACAAAAAATGGGTTCAACTTTCATTCTAACTGCAATTTCTTTAGCATCAACCATAGCTGCTTCAAATCCATTTTCTCTGTACCTTTCAAAAAAAGAAATGAGCCCTCTTAAAAGGTCTATAACAACATCAATCTGCATATCTTCTGATTGCATGATTTTACTTATTTTGTTAATAGCATTCAAAATATCAAACCAAATAACCATACCAAGTAAGAACTCAAAATTCTCAATTTCATATGTTGCTAAGCACTCAGCATCACTTTTTGTCTTGGGATCTTCACTAGAACTTGCTAAGTAAATCAAAGCATCTCTTATATCTGGAGCTTGGAATCTTATTGCTTTAACACTTTCAACTTGACCTTCCCAACGAGTTTGTGATGGTGGCTTAAGTGTGAAACCTTTAACATTATCTGTAAGAACTTTCCACCGCTTTGTAGAAGATGCAAACAATGAATATATGCGCTGCACCACTCCGAAAAAAGATGAAGCTTGCGAACAAGAGTTTACCATATCACAAAGTGCAAGGTTAAGACTATGACAACCACAAGGTGTGTAGAATGCTCTAGGATTTATCTCTAATAATCTTCTTTGTACACCTTTATGTTTTCCTTTCATATTAGAACCATTATCATACCCTTGTCCTCTTACATCACCAATATCAAGTTTAAGCTCTTGCAAAATATTTACAAGTTCTTCAAAAAGTCCTTGTCCTGATGTATCATCCACCTTTAAAAATCCTAAAAAGAACTCCTTCATCTTTATTGGGCTTGTTGAAATATTCACGCATCTTAATATAAGTGACATTTGCTCTTCATGGCTTGCATTCGGAGTACAATCAAGAATAACAGAAAAATACTTTGCTTCTTTAATATTTTGGATGATTAAACTTTTGATCTCATCTGCTATTCGAAGAATAAATTCATTTTGAATTTTGTGACTAAGATAATGATAATGAATTTCTTTCTCCTGATTTCGACGAACATGCTCTTTCATTATTGGATCAAATTCGGCAATCATTTCTATTATACTTAAAAAATTTCCATTATTTTCATCATAAAGCTTCTCATTATCTCCACGAAATGCCAAACTATTTTTAGCAAGTGTTTTCACAACAGCAACTACTCTCAATAGTACTTTTCTCCAATGTTCTCGTTCTTTGTTGATTTGTTCTTCAACACTTTTATCGATTGTCGCATTTTGTCGTAATCTGATCTCTAATTCAATCCAACTCTTCATGTTAACAATGTGTTCACTACTTGTTTCATGACTTTTAAGTCTGGCACTGAGATTTCTCCAGTCTCTAACTCCATCATTTGCCAATTGAATTTTGTTTTGCATCATTTTGAACAACTTACAACAAAAACAAAAAACCTTGTCCAAAGAATTTGAATAGATTAGCCATTTTCTATCATGATGTTCACCATTGGATAAGTTACGAATGTAATGTGTTGAGGAGAAATGTCTGCCTTCTGAATCTTTTGGAAAATCAAGATTATCATTTCTTTTGGGACCTCTTTCAACCAGTAAGTCTCTCAATCTTTAATCAATATTTTTCCAATTTCCTGGGTCATTTATGTTTGAATGCCTTCTTTTAAGGTTTTCTTCTTGTACAAAATCTTCATGTTCATTTACATTTTCTTCATGTTCATTTACATTGCTATTCTCATTCAAATTTCTATTCTCATTAGAATCTTCATGTTCTTCACCTTCTTCAATGGAATTTCTATTCTCATTCAAATTTTCATTAACCAAATCCTCGCTTTCTTGATTTTCAGGTTGCTCATTTTCAACATTCACCGAATCTTGAACTGAATTAGAATATATATTTCTACTACAAGTAATAAATTTTTCAAGTGCTCCCGCTTGAGATCGATTGAGTTCTTCAATTTTTTGTTTCTTTATCCGCTTATCATGTCCAGACATATACTTTCGAGGAGGCATGATATCCAAATTTAATTATGAATCTGCTACAATCTAATAAATATCGAAAAAATAAATTAATCAAGGATTCCTACCAAAAAGCATGTTAGGGACTAAAATATATCAAATATTTAAATTGAAATTTGAAATTAAACAATAAAATCTAGTGAGAACTAATTCCAAATTCAATTTCAATTTAGGCCCTAATCAATTTCGATTTCAATTTCACAAAGCTCTAATTCCTAAAGCCTAATTCCACAAAGCCCTAATTCCTAAACCCTAGTACAAAGGGTCCGGATCATGAGCATATATTACAGTCTTAAGTACTTTCTTATTGATCGATCACTTGCAGGACTTATCATGATCCCCTTTTTTTGAACATCATAAACTCCAGGTACGAAAACTAGCCGGTGTATATTATGTGGTAAACTTTAATTAGTACAATTATTTTTGAAATATTCATAAGAGAGCTCGGGCCTTGTCATTTTTCCTGTAGATCAGAAAGCAAACAAAATCCTCTCCAGCCCTGAAATTTTTAATCCACCAACAGTTATTTCGAAGAGCCAATCAAGTACATGACGATGCGTAATAAGGACTAACACCATGAACAAAAACCCCCAGATAAATCAAAATTTCTACATCAATTCACGAACAAATAGAAATAATCAGGTTCTCTTGACCAGCAAGAAAATGAAAAAAAGCCTCTCATGAGAGACTAACAATTGATTTGTTGTTTCTTTAAACAACAAGTCAGGGTTAATAGGTATAGTGGGTTAGATTTGTAATTATATTGTTCTATTTCTTTTTTTTTTTCTCAAAACAATTGAAATAGTGTAAAAAGGGGTAACTTTATACCCCTAATAACCACTAAAATTTTAACAGAAGTTAGGATGAGGGTAAATTTAAGAGAATATAGTAAGGACAAATTTAGAACTGTAATGATATGAAGGGCAAAATTAAAAATACTTATGATTTTGAGGGACATATATAAAAAAACCCCAAGAATAAAAAAAGGAATGGAAGTTGAGTGGAGAGAGATGAGAAAAGAAAAACTAAATACATTACATTTAAGCCCTACTCAACTTTTGATGATAAACGTCTCAACGTGTAAAAAATATATGAAAGAAAAACACATATGCCATTTTGATCATAAACCACAATACAACCTCTGACTTGAATATTTTGTTAGTTGTATATTCCAAAGCAGCTTAAAAGGAAAACTCCGAATCGTCTCTCAAACTTGGTATTTTTAAAATAACCTCAAAACTTGTAAATTAAATTACAACGTAACATCTGTAACAGGTAAAATTAGAATGGTGTGGATTTTAGTCTTATGTTACACTAAATCCCAAGAACTTTCAGTGTCTACATATTTATCATATTGTGCATCTATAGCCTATATATCAATAATTTTATCACAAAGTATTAGTTTCAAAGTAGTAATAATTTCAAAGTTTAAGAAATTATACTATTATTATTTAAATAGAATTCTATTTACAATTATTATCCTCTCATATGTAACATCATATATATATATATATATATACAAAGTAGTAATAATTTCAAAGTTTAAGAAATTATACTATTATTATTTAAATAGAATTCTATTTACAATTATTATCCTCTCATATGTAACATCATATATATATATATATATATA